GATTGAGAATATGAAATACTAGTGAAAAGAGATTTGTTACCAAAAATATGACCCAAGACTCGAAGGTTGAAGGTTGGGAGACACACGTCACACTACTAACTGTTTGAACAACGGAAGCTATCCCTGAAGATGTTTGTTTACATGTTTTGTACCGAAGGAACTCAATATAATTCGGTAAAGAAACCATCTTGAATGGATTCAATGAATTGGATCCAATGGATTGTGAGCTAAAGGCTTCAGATATAATGCCATTATAATGTTGCACCGAAAAAAATGGATTTTTTTCCTACAAAATTATTGTTCACGCAGGAAATCACTATTCACGTCGGAAAAATATAAAGGTGGTCGGAATTTGATTTAAATTAGATGGGTAGGCTTGGATTTGCGAGGAGAATACACTGTCCTGAAGAGGTTTCTCCAAAAACTGTCCGGAAACATTTTCACTCACCAGCGCGTGGGCGTCGGAGCTTCGCAGAAAATTTTCTTCTGGCGGCGCGTGGCAGCGCGTAGGGGGCCTTCTGACGGAGAATTTTTTATGGGTTGGTCGCTGGAGGCCGATCTACTTCGTGGTGGTGTTGGTTTTTGCACAGCACTGACGAAAAGTGGTTTTTTTCTTGCGGCAGACCTGTGTTTGACGGAAAAAAATCTCCAGTTAACTGATTTTTCTTCCCGGAGTCGTTGGAATTTATGCACAGCGATAAATCTCTCACGATTGCTCTGATACCATGTGAGAATGCACGGTAGAAAATATTATTGATTAATATTGACAATGATACAATGAGCCTTATATATATATATATATATAATACATGTCCTATTCCTAATACATATGGGATTAGGGTTATTTACTACTATTTAACTATCAAACTAACAAAAATAAAAAGAATTCCATACTTTACAAGCTATACGTATTCTACAAAATTTCTCATAATTTAAAGATATTTTTCTTTGTTTGAATTATTTTTAGCTGGATCCCCGCACCTGTATCCGTCCTAGAATCTATATCCCCTAATCTTAGAATTTATATCTTGAAGGATCCGACCTCTAGATCCGCACCCGTGTCGGATACCCGCACATGTGTTCGAGCAACTTAGGGTGCAATAGACAACAAAGGTTTCCGAGCAAACAAGTTCGTTGGCACATTTGGTAACGACACCCGTGCCACAAATTTTGAAGTTTATTCTTTAGGGTTGAAATTTTGAGTCCATGGAGAAGTACGAAATTGATGTTGCTCATCCTTATCTTGTAGATAGCCAACCTGTTTTGAGAGAAAAGGGCAGACCCCTGTACAAAGTTTCCTCTTAAAGAGCACTACGAATCTAAAACTTGAGACACAAAAATGACATACTTTATTCATAGAATTGTACGGTATTTATAAAAGAATAGGTACAATCAAACCAGGCTAATCAATCCCAAATTCTTAGGAGATCCTTCAATCAAAGGATTACATCTAAAGTAGTTTCCTCGAATAAATTCTAACAAATTTTCCTGAATATCTATTGTACCATATTTACATCTGCCAGCTCATTCAAGGAGTAGATTAGGATCAATCTGCCAGCTCATTCCCCCTCAAGTTGGCATGTAAATATCGAACATGCCTAACTTGGTGACAAAAAACTCAAAAGTAGTTCTAAAAAGACCTTTTATGAAAATATCTGCAACTTGTTTAGTTGTTGGAACAAAAGGCACGCACACGCTTCCATCTTTAATCTTCTCTTTAATAAAGTGTCTGTCCACTTCGACATGCTTTGTTCTGTCATGTTGAACTGGATTATGGGCAATGCTTATGGCAGCCTTATTGTCATAGTACATCTTTATCAGCAAACTCATAGGTCTTCTTAGTTCTTCCAAAAGTCTCTTTAGCCACAACATTTCGCAAATTCCGTGTGACATGGATCGATACCCAGCCTCGGCACTACTTCGAGCCACCACATTTTCCTTCTTACTTCTCCATATTACCAAATTTCCCCAAACAAATGTACAATATCCAGATGTAGACCTTCTATCAGTAGATGACCCAGCCCAGTCCACATCAGTATAAGCCTCAACACTTCTTTGCTCATTCTTCTGGAAGAACAACCCTTTCCCATGAGAGCTCTTTAGATACCTTAGGATTCAATACACAACTTCTTGATGTTCTTATTGTGGAGAATGCATAAACTGACGGACTACGCTCACAGCGAAGGTAATAAAAGGTCTAATATGAGAAGAGTAAATCAACTTGCCTACCAATCTTTGATATTGGCCCTTATTAATCAATTTCCTTTCCTTATTTCCAAACTTTAGATTTGGGTCAACTGGAGCTTCAAATGGTCTACAACCACTCATTCTTGTTTCTTGTAACAAATCAAGTATATACTTTCGTTGTGACACTACAATTCATTTCCTCGATCGTGCAACCTCCATGCCAAGAAAGTACTTCAGTGGGCCTAAATCTTTTATCTCAAATTCTGAGGCAAGGCGCTCCTTCAGATTTATTATTTCAACCATATCATCTCATGTGAGGATGATATCGTCGACATACATTTCCTTCTAGAATGTCAGGTAAACATTATGTGATCTGCCTGTCCTTGCACATACCCTTGCTTCTTCACGAATTGAGTAAATCTTTCGAACCAAGCCCTTGGAGACTGTTTTAAACCGTAAAGAGATCTTCACAGTCTACACATCTTCGACTTATACTTCCCTTCAAAACCTAGTGGAGGATCCATATAGACTTCTTCCTCTAGTTGCCCATTTAAGAAAGCATTCTTCACATCTAATTATTGAAGAGGCCAGTCAAGATTTACCGCGATTGTCAAGAGGACTCTAATTGAGCTTAGCTTAGCTATTGGAGCAAACGTCTCCAAATAGTCAACGCCATATGTTTGCGTGAATCCCTTAGCTACTATGTGAGCCTTATACCTCTCCAAAGACCTATCTGCTAATTTGGTGGTGAACACCCATTTGCAACCCATTGGTTTCTTTCCCTTTGGTAAATCCACCAATTCCCATGTCCCATTATTTTCAAGAGCACACATTTCTTCCAAAATAGCCTCCTTCCACTCTGGAACTCATAGAGAATCCGGCACATTTTTTGGAATCTCCACAGTGGTAAGTTGTGAGATAAAGGCAGAATAACTAGGGGATAACTTTTCATAAGACATAAACATAGAAATATGATGTTTAGGAGTATTTCTGACACCTTTGGGTTTTGCAATGGGAAGATCCAAATCTGAGAAGGAATTAAAATTAGACTCTGTTGGAAGATTACTTTGAATTCCAGTGAGGTCTTGTGGATCTTAATTTTGATAGTGTTGAGAAGCTTCAGTCTTTTTCCTTTGAGATCAATTCCTTCTCAAATATACCTGTATTTCTTTTGTTTGTTCTCTGTTTCCATTTTTATTTGTCTCATTTAAAGGCACTACAAGTTCAATATTAGGATTTTTATCATTTAAGTCAATTAGGTCCCCCTCATCTCTCGAATAACAGTTCTTTCCTTCTCGTGGATCACACTTATTTATATTTTCTCCTAGATCCCTCACATCAGTATTTATTGTGAAATCAAGTCCTTTATCTGTGAGATGTCTAGTTTCCCCAATATCCCAAAAAGATGAATCTTCACTTGTATGATGCTCCCCTTGAAGATGAGTAGTAAAATAAAATTGTGACTCAAAGAAAGTTACATCCATGGTGATAATTATCTTCCTAGTGTGTGGATCATAGCACTTATACCCCTTTTGACTTGGAGCATATCCTACAAAAACACATTTCTTAGCTCGTGGTTCGAGTTTACTACGATTATGAGGATGAACATGAACAAATATCGTACACCCAAAAACCTTCAAAGGCAAATCTGTACTTAACCTAGAACTAGGAAAATTCTCTTTGAAAAAACTGAAAGGTGTTTTAAATTTCAGAATTCTAGATTGCATCCTATTAATAAGGTAAGTAGCAGTCAACACAGTCTCTCCCCAAAGGTACTAGGGAACTCTACTAGTAAATATTAAAGCTCTATTTACCTCTAAAAGGTGCCCATTTCTTCCTTTCTGCGATGTCATTTTGTTGAGGAGTATCTGGACAAGAGCTTTGGTGTATTACTCCAGTTTTTCTGAAAAAACTTCCAAATTGTTCATTAAAAAATTCACGACCATTATCACTTTGAAATATCTTGATTTTCTCTTTAAACTGTGTTTCCACATTGACATAGAAAGTTTCAACCACATCCTTAACCTCACTTTTGTCCTTCAATAAATCAACCTAACTTAGTCTAGTATGATCATCAATAAAAGTTATAAACCATTGTTTTCCGAACATTGTTGAAATCCTAAGACGGTCCCCAAACATCACTATGAATCATCATAAAAGGTTTTGAAGAAGCATATTTTTGAGAGGGAAAAAAAGATCGGTGATGCTTAGCCATTTCACAAAATTCACATTGGAACAAAGACGGATTTTTATTTCCAAATATTTCAGGTAAGAATAAAAACTAGGATGTCCAGCCGATAGTGCCAAAGCATGACTTTATTCAAAACAGAAGTAGAGTTCAAACAAATAGGATTCAGATGTTGCAAGTTGTCCCCTTTATCAAGGAAATAAAGACCTCCAGATTCTCTAGCACTGCGAATCATCTTCCCCGAGACCTTGTCCTAAAATTCACACAAATCAGAGTCTAAAATAGCACGACAATTCAGAGAACGAGTTAATTTACTGATAGAAATTAGATTGTAGGAGAGTTTCGGAACATGAAGGATATCATGAAGCGTGAGAGATGGTGTTAGTTTAACAGTTCCTTTTACAGCGATTGCTGAGAAGGAACCATCAGCTATCTTGATTTTATTATTCGCTGCACAAGGAGTGTAAGTGGAGAAAAATTTTGGAACTTCCCGTCATGTGATCACTAGCTCCTGAATCTATATTCCATGAATCTATTTGGTTGTAATTGGCATAAGAAAGGTAGATGATACATTACCTATTTGAGCAAAAGAACAAGAAGTATTAGAAGGATCTAGTCCACCAGATCAGAATTGTGGAGATTGAAGGAGTTTTTGCAGAAGTTCCAGTTGTTCCCTTGTGAATGGAGATGTTTCTGGAGAAGGTTGCTGCCCCTGATCAAAATAGGTTGTTTGGAAGGCCTCACCATGTTGAGATCGGAAGCAACGATTGTCAACTTCTTTTTTCTTCGTGTTTGGTGGTTTCCCATGAATCTTCCAACATGTTTCACGGGTATGCCAGTATTTTTTGCAATGATCGCACCATGGCCTTTTCTTTTTATCATCTTCATTTTTCACTGTTGCAAGTGCTGAAGCATCTACAACAGGTTTTAGTTCAAGGTTCAAATAAGGTTTTAACATAACTTTCCCCCTACTTTCCTCTCTCCTAATTTCAGACAAGGTTTCACGAATTGAAGGCAGAGGGTTTTTTCCTAGGATCGGTGACCTGAACTCGTCAAAATCCCGATTTAATCCTGCTAAGAAAAGGTAAGCTTTCTCATTTTCTTCCCCTTTTCTTGTTTTCACACTATCGGCGGGACAATCACATTCATCATGGTAACACTGATCTAACTCTTGCCATAAAGACACCATTTCATTATAATAAGCAGTTACTTCCCTCTTATCCTGCTTAGCTTGCCAAAGTTTAATTTTTAACTCAAATATCTGAGAGGCATTTTCTACATATGAATATGTCTCCCTAACGGCTTCCCACACATCCCTAGCAGTGGGTAAAAAAATATAAGATTTACCTATGACTGTATCCATGGAATTTATTAGCCAGGCAATCACGAGTGAGTTATCTGATCTCCAGGCATTCATCTTTGGGTCTCCAACTTCCGGCTTTATCGTCTCTCCAGTCATATGTCCTAATTTTCCACTGCCATCAATTGCAAGCTTTACTGACTGCGCCCATTCCAGATATTTCTTCCCGTTTAATCGATGAGAAGTTAGCTGGAAGGACATATGAGAGGAATCGCCTCCTTGTGTCACCATATCTTCTACCGAAGCTTCAAGAGAAGAACTTTCGGCTTCTATTGATGTTGCAGAGTGGCGCTCACCATGAAAGGTTGTTTCGGCCATAAGGTATTAGGGAGGAAAGTCCCGCTCTGATACCATGAAACTTTAGACACATTAAAGGCATACTTTATTCATAGAATTGTACAGTATTTATAGGAGAACATGTACAATCAAAGCAGGATAATCAATCCCCAATTCTTAGGAGATCCTTCAATCAAGGGATTACATCTAAACTAGTTTCCTAGAATAAATTCTAACAAATTTTCCTAAATATCTACTGTACCATATTTACAGAAGCAGATTACAATCAAATCTGCCAGCTCATTCAAGGAGTAGATTAAGATCAATCCGCCAGCTCATTCAACTGAATCAATAGTTGTCGACCTGAATGGAGGCCTATCAAGCAATTACCTTTAATCTCAAGTTGTTTTGTAATCAAGGCTCAAAGATCTTTCAAATTAAGCGCACCATAAGATAGTTTCATCACAACAGCCTGTGAAGTCCTTCCTCAACTGCATACTCCTCCAGTTCCTTGAAAGTAAAATGCAATGTGGGTTGACTATTTATAGGTTGAATAGGTTTTAACATGGTTTTTGGTTACAGGTTGTGACGAGGGTTTAGATGTGAAGCTAGGGAGAGCTCTTTTCCGCCATGGAGAAGGCTCAAATCATCATAGGATGTGCCCTAGGAGGAGAGAGCAGAAACCGTTAGGGTTTAGATAAGTTTGTGATTAGTTCGGAATTGGTTATATCACAATTGTGGTACTATTTATATCCCACATTAAGAGTGGAATAACAATCCCAGAATTACTAATTCCGTGATAAAACACCAACATGAAAAAGATGTCCTTCTCCAAGGGTTTTCAGTAATTTAAAACATCCAAGGTTAAAATTGGAAATAAAAGTTTGTCCCGTCTTATTTAGTGTAAACCAAATACCTATTTTATTGGCTGAATACATAAAAAGACACTTAAGGTTAGCACAACCTTTCATTTAGACACCTAAGCTTTAAGCACTTACACTACCCGAAACCTTGTTTCAATTAGGCACTTCCTTGACAATTAGCCAAACTTATAAAGTGTATGCAATGCACTCACTGCTGATGTGACAAATGATGAATAAAAAAAGGACATATACCATTTTGAGTTAAACAAACGAAGTATTTTAAAATCTATTTAGTAAAAAAAATAAAAAAAATATTCTCAAATGGAAAAAAAGAACCTTAATTTACACCCAATCAGAAAAGGACACATTATTAACAAAAAAATAAAACCAAAAAACTGACACATTCATGTTATAGAAAATAGTGTTCTTGATGTTCTTCACTATCTTCATGTGGGTTCTTGTTCCAACCACAATTCTAATCCAAAATTTCGAGAGAAACTCCTCCAAATTTGTTATAACTTCAGCTAAAGATTCTCCACGAGACTCAAAGACAACCCTAATATTAATTTCTCTAATTTTCATCAAATAAAGTTCATTTAAACCTTCAAGCTTTCTTAAAGACCCCATTAATGGTGTTTCGATTTCAAATGAAGAATACTGTCTCACTTCAGTTTCAATCATCTGGATGATTGTTGGTTCAAACTTTCGAGCTAAATCAATGGTGGAGGCACAAAAATGGTGAAAGTGGGGAGGCAATTGTGGAAGTTATGGTGGAGATAAAGAAGAACAAGAAGAAGAAGAAGAAAGAAAGAAATAAAAAGAAAAAAACAAAAAAAATATTTTTGGGCTCTTCACGCGCCTATAGTGGGTGAAACTCATTCTATGTGCTAACTCAATAAGAAGTTCCTAATTGGAACAAGTTTCAGGTAGTGTAAGTACTTAATAGGGACACCCCTAAGTTTAAGTGTCTAAATGAAAAATTGTGTTAACTTTAAGTGTCTCTGAAGGTGTTGGTTTATGTTTAGTCAACAATGGCATGCCAATTGGAAGAGTTGGTGGAAAGAGTTGGTGTGGATGCTAGGAGGAAGTTTCCTCCTTTGATGTCACCCATGACATCAAGAGGAGGTAGTTTGATGTCACCAATGACATCAAGAGGAGGTCTTTACCTCTATAAATATATGCACTCCTTCATTTGTAGAAACCATCCCAAAAATAATACAACACATTGTAGTGAGTAGAGAGTTAAGAGAGAAATTCTCTTAAGTGTAATTGGGAACTCTCCCCTTCCTTTGTTAATATTAAAAAGGCAACTGTTCTCTGGTGGACGTAGGATTATTTTGATCCGAACCACGTTAAATCTTGTGTTCTTTCTTTTACGTTTCCTCTAACAATTGGTATCAGAGCAACAGGATTCTTTAACGATCCAAGGAGGAAGAACAAGCAAAGATGAGTTCCATGAAGTTTGAAATTGATAGATTCAGTTGACGCAACAACTTCAATATCTGGAAGATCCAGATGATGGCGTTACTACGGAGGGAAGGTTCAATCCATGCTATTAATGGAAAGTATCCTAAGGATATATCAACTCCAGACAAGGAGAAGATTGAAGGGGATGCATTGAGTGTAATTCAACTATCCCTTGCACCTAACGTGCTTTGTAAAGTGAGTACGGGTACCGAAGAGACAGCCAAACAGTTATGGGAAAAGCTATAAGGGCTATACCAAGACCGATCAGTGATAATAAGGATGTTGTTACAACGGAGTCTTCACACATTTAAGATGGGTTCAGGTACTTCGTTACAAGATCATTTAGATGCGTTCAATAAACTTGTCATTGACTTACAGATTGCAGGAATTAAAAAGGAGGAGGAGACGCTTGCATGTGCTTTGCTATTTTCATTGA